ATGTTCTTAATTTCTGAATTGTTTGTCTTCCCAGGATTTCATATTTCTTCTGATTTCTGATCACAAATCTTTTGATTTCGCTTGATGTTCATGTTTTGTGGAATTATTCAGTGATTTTATAATCTCTGTTGAAATATGATGCTTATTGCTTCTGATTGACCAAACATGTTTTAGCTTCGAGATTTGCCATTTTTCTCTCGTTTTGAAAAATTCCAAAGCATTTTTTTTTGTTCTTGTTAGGAATGAGATTGTGAGTTTTTGACTCGCTCTCGATCCTACAATGGGTTTGCTCGTTCCTGGTTCTTTTTTAGGTTACAGAAGTTTCTTCTGCTGTGTCAATCAAAGCGTTTTCTTTGCAGTTTAGTCCTGTCTTAGAGTTGGTTCGCTTTCAGGATTTTGGTGTTGAGCAAGTGTTTATTTTTTCCCTTTTTCATCTGTCATAAAGCCTCTGCTCTGGCTATTCTAGATAATAGACAGGACAAAGTCTAAGCTGGACCTTTGCAAGAATCCTTTTCTAAGAGCCAAATGTGGAACAGTGCATAGGGCAAACATAGTTGTTGTCTCTTGGTCATGTAATATCATCCTTTGGATTTCAATACTTTGCATATGGCTGAACCTTTTGCCCTTATTTGTTTGCTACGAGTTGTGTTGGGCATAGAGGCTTTTAAACTGAAAAGACAACCTTGAGAATTTCGGTATGGAAAGAATCAACATAAGTAGTAATGGATTGGTGCTACAGTGTTGGTTTTCAAAAATTGTTTTGACCTTTGGATTGTGTGTAGGACAAGGGCCGCCCATTGCCAAAGTTTGGTGAATGGGATGTGAATGACCCTTCATCAGCTGAGGGATTCACTGTTATCTTCAACAAAGCTAGAAACGAGAAAAAGGGAGGTGCAAAGTCTGACTCACCAGGGAAAGATGAACCTGGTTATAATAAAAATGGCCAAGTTCCTGGGAAGCCCACTGTAAGCTATATAACATCTCTTCTTTTCTCTGAAATGCATCACCGTATTATTATTAGCTTCACCATGTGAATTCAACTGTTTAATTATACACAAGTGTCTTATAATTATTGATGCTGTTTCTTGCAGAAGAAATGGTTTTGCTGTATACAATCCACTCACGCAGAATAAGTGGTGACATCTTTGCCTTGGAAGGTCGTCTATCTATATCTAAAAGCATACTGCGTCAAGAAGACTGGAGCTTGTTCTGAGAAGCCATGACAGTCGCTTCTGGATTCTGGTCGGAGATGTTTCGAGTGGTGTGTTTAGTGACTCCGGTCTTGTGCAAGGATGAATGTAACTAGATAACAACAATGTCGTTTCTATGTATTGGTGTGATGAGTTATGTTGTGTTCTTCACTTATGAGTTATGACCACTTTATATGGCTCCTCTCTCTCATTTCATTTGGGTTCCATGGATCTTCTTTTTTTTTTTAAATTGTGTTTTAAAATCCTTCCTAAAATCGATTTTGATTCACTTTATTCGATGGTTACTGGGACTGTCTGGAGAAAACAGGCCTTTCTAGCCTTTTCCTCAATTCTCAGAGATACAAGATACAAACAAATGTACAAGGAAACATGTTTGGAGATGTGAAATCACACCAAGTGAAACGGTTTCTAAGCATGAGAAATGTTCCTCCCGAAAAGTCCAGCTATTCCTTTCTCAGGGTCGCTTTGCTTAACAATTGACTCACCAACCAAGACCTGTACAATTAGAATAAGCTCACCAATCAGCTTTTCAGAGAATCGTTTATCTGATTAATGCTTGTCGAGGTTCCAAGCAGACAAAACGTTTGTGTGATGGATGGTTATGAAAGCTTACCGCTTTAACTCCAGCGGCTTGTACATAGGCAATGTCATCAGGTGTAAACAGACCGGATTCGCCAACCACCTTAACACATACAACAGGATTATCATGATCAGGACTCAAAATGATAATGTTCCAGCAATTGATAGACAGAACGGACAGTGGAAGTACTTACGATCATGTCTTTCTCGCGGATTTGTCTACCATGCTCTCCTTCAAGAAGCCTCTTTGTATTACTAATGTCCACTTTAAATGTTTCTGAAACACCAACAATTTATATTTGTGAGACTCCTCAACTGCACTAGACTGTCCACAACAAGGCTCACATCACCGTGAACTCGTTCTAAGCGAAAGTTATCAAACCTAGCAATATCTACAAAAGCTGCATTACCAAGACTTCGGTTATTGATCCCCACAAGCTTGATCCCTTCTATTCCAAGCACACGGCCCATCTCTCTCTCATCGTGTACCTAATCGAAAGCCAAGCATATTAAGAGCAGAAAAAATGTACTAACTTTTCAACAAATATAATCTCATCACCGGAGTAACAATAGTCAAAGCATGGAAAGAGACCTCGACAAGGGCAGCCAAACCAAGCTTCTTGCAGATCTCAAGCAAGTAGGTTATCTCTAGGTCAGTCAATATAGCAGCAATAAGCAATACTGCATCAGCGCCTTTAGTCCGAGCATAGTAGATCTGCCATGGATCTACAACAAACTCTTTGCATAATAGGGGGCACTGCAATAACCGGAAAGCATGGCTTATGAAAATTGTCTTTATTAGGAAGCACAAAAAATAAAACCAGACTTTGCTAAGAGAATAATACCTTCACACCAGCGCTTCTTATTGCTTCCAAGTTTTCAAAGCCTCCCTGTTGAACCAAATCAAGATATTAACTATAAATGTTAAAAACTTGTTGCAAACGTGTATAAGATTATATGCAACTAAATACACAAGTGAACCTTGAAATATTTCTGGTCAGTCAAAACACTGAGACATGCGGCACCGCCTCTTTCATAAGCTTGAGCAATCTCAACCTGTAAGATGATAAGCGTTAGCAACACAGCCAGAGGAATCATGAAGACCTTGAAGGCGTATATAAAAGAACAATAATGAATCATATTGGGAACCGTTCACAAGAGAAAGGAAAACGTTGATCTACTTCCCAAAGCCAAACTGAAAATGATAAAGACTAATGTTACAATATTTTATCCATTGAAGAATGAACCTATACTTGCTTAATCTGAGTTCAATGACTCAATTCGAGAATACGATCTTTGTCATTATGGAAAGAAACAGAAAATAGCAATACATACCGGGTCGAAATTCTCTTTTAAGACTCCTCTACTTGGAGAAGCCTTCTTAACCTCAGCGATCAAACCAGGGAAGCCAGTTCTTTGATGAGCCAAAATAAGCGCCCCGACAAAATCCCTGGTAGGAGGAGCATCCTCTACAGCTTTCTTCAGCAAATTAAGCGGGTTTAGTTCCTTCATCTGAATAGTGAAAAGACAATCCCCATTAAAAACTTACCAAGCTTTGGGAAAGAAAAAAAACATTGTAAGGAGAAAGTCTTCACCCGCGAAACTTCTACGTCTTTGTACCAAGTGATCTCCTCCAAGATGTTACGAGGAGAATCAGCATCATTGTCATTATGCAATCTCAAGTCAAAAGGTCCAGAATAACCCAAAGGAGCCTTGCTTGGTGGTTTTCTCCTTATCCTAATACCTTGGCTGATAGCTAGTTCATTCTGATACATCTCTACCTCCCATTCCTTGATTGTAAGAGCATTTTCAGCTGAAGAAGAAGCAACAACTAAGCTTTCCTTCAAATCCGTCTACCAAAACAACAAGGCAAATACTTTGAGCAACTGACAAATAGAATTAACCCCAATTTTGTTCCAGCTAGGGTTTAGAATCGAGACAAATCACAGAAATCGAACAAGCAGGATCTAGACAAGATATAAGAAATGCGACTAATCACACAGAATCAAACGAAAGACAGGAACTTTGTTTATGGGTTTTCATTCATAGAATCAAAGACAGAAGAAACAACCTGTTGAGCCCGGATCGACGGAGCCTTAAACCTGATCCTTGTGTCCATGGGAAAACCTGAAAGCGAACGTTTGATGGACAAAGAAACGTTACATCGAGACAGAGGAGATGAAACCACTCTAACCGGAGCTCTCTGAACCGGCACGAGTCCTTCCATTGCCGGAGAAAAAGGTTTTGA